TCTAGGTTTTTGGCTTAGCATTAATAAATAGTTCAGTCATTTAGCTGATTTAGACTCAATGTAACAAATTCTTTTCTAAACACGATTATCTACAAATACAGCAAGCTGCCTTAAGAGTTCTGTATCATTTGAGATAGTCAAGACAAAGCTACATATTCATTGGCCATAATTACTGTAAAAGGCACTGCTGCTCTGTTTGCAAGATTAGACAAGATCACTGTAAGATAGTAATCACCAGCTTCACCATTGAACCACTCTGGTTCTCTGATGCCTCTGGAGTTACAGTTCTGAAGACATCATTATGGTTCCTGACATCATTACATCTTAACAAACTAAAAAAAATATTCCTATAGAATCCAAAATAAATAGACTCTTATTTGAAAATTATTTGTGATTTCAGTTAAATGTACTCCAGAAACACAAATGATCTGTGTGTCTAGATGTTAAAACTATTACTGCACTAACATCTTCATTAAAGACAGCAGTAATTAGACAGAGAAAATGATGTCATTAACTCTGAAAAAGAGGGTTCTTTAAAATCACATATGGTAAGTGATATGGTTTGACTGTGTCCCCACCCAAATCTTGAATGCCCAAGTATTGTAGAAGGGTTCTGGTGGGAGGTAATTAAGTAATGGAGGCAGGTCTTTCCCATGCTGTTTTTGTGATGGTAAATAAGTCTCATAAGATCTGATTGTGCTATGGGGGTGGGGGTTTCCCTGCGCAGGCTCTCTCTTTTTGCCTGCTGCCATTCATGTAAGATGTGACTTGCTCCTCCTTGCCTTCTGCCATGATTGTGAGGCTTCCCCAGTCACGTGAAACTGTAAATCCATTAAACCCTTTTTCCTTATAAATCACCCAGTCTCAGGTGTGTCTAATACAATAAGCCATGTCCCAAACCAAATGTCCATAAAGAATATGGTAGTTCTAATTATAATTTATGTTAGTATACTCTTTTCAATTTGAAATCAAAAGCTGTTTATACTGTGTCTATAAATCAATCTTATAAATTAAACTAAAACATGAATGGTGCAAAAGTTTGACAGTCACTTTATAATACTTGCAGGAAAAGTTTCTGTAGATTTGGTAAATAAAGTTAAATTTATTTTAACATTAAGTTCCTCCTTTTTCCTTTTATGATTGTTTTATAGTATTGTTTTATGTTTAGCTTCAGTTTTAGGAGAGAAAAATAAAACATCTTAGCATACCATATACAGTAACTTAAATTCTATGATACTATAGAAAATGACTGATTTTCCTAGCCTTTTTATCTTTCCATTTCTGTATGAAATAACAAAACCCACTGATATGGGTATTTGTGATCCACTATGCTAAAAAGCCCTGTCGTTTCTTGGTCTTTTTTATTTCATGACTATTGTGAGCCAGATGGAAAATAGGATAAAGACATGAGAATTATTGGGCAGAACAATGGGTTCGAATTATAAAACTGAACAGTTAGGAGGGGCAGGGAAATAAGGAAAGAGAAGGCAGAATGGAGACAGGTAAAAATGCAGTGAGCATGTTCAGAAGACAGTTTGCCAGTGGAGTCACAACTTACCAAGAATCACTAGAGACAATGTCAAGGGTTAACAATTTAAATTCAAGCATTTATCCTTTGTGTTACAAACAATTATACTCTTTTAGTTATATTAAAATGTGCAAGTAAATTATTATTGGCTGTAGTCACCCTGTTGGGAAATTACATACTAGATGTTACTCATCGAAGCCTTGTTTTTAAAGTGAAAATCTCAGATGATTCTCCCCTGTGTTTTCTGATTCACTGTCCTGCACTCTAAATGGCCATCAACTCAGGAATAGAGATTATTGAGCCTCCAAGACCTACCTAATGGAGCAGTTATATAACTACCATTGGTAGTTATTCCAATAAGTTACTACTCATTTTGGTTTTCACTCCATTACAGTTTTTGATATGATTATTTGAACCTAAAAGTGTAATGTAGTTTGGTTCCTAAGAGTTGTTTTAACTGATGAATAATAGGTGCTGGGAATTAGTTTGTGTTACTTAAAAATGTGAATTGAATTGTATCTCATTTAGAATGAGGGATTTGTGAAAGCCAAATATAGTCACATTATCTGTAAAAAGTGTGAATGGCTGAACAATTACTCAAGAAACATGATCCATAGTGGCAACAAATATAACTGCTGTTCGTAAGACTTTGCTTTTCTATAAAGTATTATGTGACCTGTCTTACCTACAGTTTCTTTTACCTTTTTTGCATTTATATATGCTCCCTAAAAATATAGATTATGTAAATTTCTCTAATTTCTTATTAGTTATAAATCTGAATTAGAACAAAAATAAGCATTCCTGCTACTGAAGAAGTCAGAAGACTTATTTAAAAGTATGATTTTGGGGGCAGAGGTATATATAAGGTGGATTTATTCTATATATTGCTGTACTATTTTATTTCAAATATAGTAATGCATAAAGTTTAAAATTAAATGTGCTTTCCATGTAGATTAATACTATCCATTTCATCTTTGTCAAGTAGAAGTAATTGGTTGGCTTAGTACAATCCAGTCCGACCGAGTAGCTCTGTTGTTTTTCAGAAATGGGAGAGATTGAAAGTTTAAGCAGCATTCATCATCAGGAGAATTTGTTTTAAAAGCTTCCAAGCTCCCAAACAGCCAGTAGATAAATTACCCACTATTCAGAGAAGGAGAGCACAATTAGTTTTACATTATGCTAAACCAATCACCTCCGTAAGTGACTATGTTTCTTGAGAAAAAAGCAATATGAATGTCATAGTTTGTCCTCTTTCTCCCAGGCTTTACAGCCAACGGTAAGCCTTTTCTCATACTAGCACTTTTATGGAAAGCTTTGTGAATATGTTTTGCCACTGTTTTTAGATAAGGAGAAATATATTCATGACTTGTAACCATATGGTTAATAATACCTGCTTCACAATGCAAAGTCAATGAGGTTTTTGTTTTATTCAAATGCTTTGAAGCTTTATGGTGAGAAGGAAGACTTCAATAAATTATTTTCAAACCTACCTTTCTTCCTCCAACAATTATTTTTAAGTAATTATTTACAATTAAGAAGCAAAGAAAGGTGTAAGAAAATATTATACTGGGGGTAATGAATTATGCACAAAAAATCTGCAGGTTGTTTTTTTCATCTTAACAAAGTAAATATTTACTAAACAGCCATTACCTCTTTTGACACATGCAGGATGGTGTAAGAATGTACCAAATTCATGTCAACTGCCATGACTTAACCTGGAGAAATACCATGACTAGTAAACTTTATATACACAGCTGCTGCAGTATTTTTCGCATTTTCCATTTATAATAAGAAAGTGATCAATGGAGGCCTTAGAGGAAAGAGTGCAATTGCAATCATATAAATAGCCTTATTTCCTTTTTGCATACAAGTGAATCTATCAAAATTCAAACATTGTATTACCTTATTTTCATATATCAGTGTTCACCTATGGGTTACTTGTATTTTATTTTTTAAGTTATTCATTCTCATACTGATAATTGATCATTGTTGATACGTGCATGCAGGTCATATACAAAACTTCCTTTACACCACCCAAAAAGTAGTCTACTTATGTTGTATAATAAGTTCGAACCTTTGTGACTTAAGTACCAAATGGACTCTTCCCATGCACATAAACACAACCTGGAACTGCATGAGAAACACATTTGAATACAGCTTTCGTTTTTCAAAATTCATATATATGTGATCAGTGTAGAGTATAAATTGAGTAAGGAGAAAGAGAGGGAGGAGAAAAGGAAAAAGGCAGTGAGGGAGAGAAACAGAGAAAGAGAATATATCAAAATACAGCATCAAAATGTACTTACGTCTTATTCATGAGTGTTTCTTTCCTAGGAATATAAGTTTTTAAATGTGTTTGACTGTAGAAAAGACTATTAAGTGGGTATGTTTCATTTTTAGTTCAGTTTAATTTTTTTTTTCATGTTAGACAGGTAATGTGCCAACATCATAACAAGGTTTGAAGGAGGCACATCTCACATGTGAGTGTGAAAACTCAATCATCATGTTCACTGAGTCTCTTTCAACCAGTAGTCTTGGCCAGCATGAAATCTGGGGGGCTGCAAACTTCCAGAGAAATTCTCACCACCCATTTGCCATACTCAGTCTTTTTCATAATCTTTGTATCATGGACTTCAAATCTTTAGTAAATAAAGTCAAGTTACCTAATTCTCTGGCTACTTATAAAAGGCCAACATGTCCCATCCAGACTGATGCCTTGATTTGCATGTCTTTGACTCTTAAGACATATACAGATTTTCTGTCTAACCCCTAAGACCTTTGAAGTTGATGGGATAACAGTAGGTCTAATATTTTTGTCTAAATATAAAGCCCTGGAACTTGATAGGATTCTAGATAAATACATGATTTTCCCCACTGATAGAGTCTTGCATTATTTTATCTTCATATTCAATTTCAATCAGTTCTTCAACCAATTGAATTTGGGCTCTTACATAATGCTTCAGACTTGTGGTTGCACCATGAAGTCTTTAGATGTTTCTGATTTTCTTTTGCAACCAAGATTGTGAAATGCAGATCAAAGACCTGTATTGGCTTTTTTTTCCTATCCCAGATGCATAAGGCTTAGGACTGCACTGTTCAAAGGTAAGTATCCTATGGTCAGTCTTGATAGGGGCAACAAAGATTCATGAGTAATTCAAATTTGTTTCCCTAGCCTAGAACTTTAAGTGGTTCCTACTTTGACTTGGACAAGAACTCAAGTTGAAAATAATTGCTGACCTCAGGCAGTAAATTAGCTGGATTTTTAAAAAATCGTAACACTCCATAAGTGAAAACAATTATAGAATTGCCTAGAACAAAGGACCTAAGAACCTACCATCAAAATTATTTGTACTAAATATCTAATTCTTCCTTTATTCTTCTCCTGATTTAACCTTAAAATCTATCAGTATATGCATGCTATCAACAATGAAACACAAATCTCTGTATTAAAAATTTTTTTTTATTTTCTCAGTTTCTACAGATAAAGTGATCTGAAATAACGCATGATGCCGCAAAGCAGAAGAGAAACTGTGACAACCCCCAGAAATGTGAAAGGAGGTTTCTTACTGGACAGCAGCATCTTTGGTTCAATTTATATAAAAACCCAAATAAATAAAATGGACAGTATTGCTCAATTTTAGAAATTCCATTTCTTCTATGTTTTAAGCTGTACAATTGTCAGGTTTTTATGGTTTAAATTGTAAATGTGTTTTCCCCTTTGCTAATTATGTTTTTTTTTTTTAGTCTTAAAATGTGAAAGGCATTTATGAATGGTAAGGGAGACACTATATACAAATGTATATTTGTAAAAGCTATTTTTATGATTAGCATGTTTCACTGTTGATCATATATAAAAGGTGATATTGCAATTCTGTATTTAAAGCTTATTTCCAACAATGTCATGTAAGAAAATATGCATCTTATGCTAGTTTTTATAATTTATTTTTAATTTATAGTTTAAAGTACTTGAGATCATAATGATAAAATACTTGAAAAAGTTATATTTCTGCCCTGTATAAGCACCCTTTTTATTAATAAAGAATGCAGATATTTCAGATGTGATATAATAGTTAAAGAACTGTTGGTTTGATCTGTGATTAAGTTGAGCATGCTCCGCTCTACAGAACTAAAATGATCCAATTATTACTTCAGTCTGGGTATGAGATTCCATGGACAGGTTTTAGTGTTCATACAAGTAAGGACTAAATTGCCAAGGAAAAGACTGTCTTGCCCTTGGATCCAAAAGTTTAAATTAGTGCATACTCATGTCATTTCACCTCCTGTTCCTAGGAACTCTCCATTCCCAAGCATTGCAAGTGTTTTCCAGATAATCTTAGCTGTTGTCTTGTGCTGTGGAAATGGAAGAAACCATCTTCACAGACTGTAGGAGAATTCAGCATATAATTTCTTAATAAATACAGTTTCTTTTAAAACAAAGTTGGTGTGTATCTTTCCTTTGGGGTACATTTAGCTTTAATATTCAGTTTGAACTTTTTCAGTCACTGTGCTACCACCAAATCATCACCATAATGAAAGTAGCGTATTTTTACCAAAGTATGCATTATAGGTTCTACATGCCCACACCCTCTTGGGAGTGACCTGTATTCTGGAACATGATAATTTGCCATGTAAAAGAAAGCCAGATGGCCTTCAAACCTTGACAGAAGTCATACTCCAGTTTATATTTTAGGAAAGTATATTTTTCCTCCAAATACAGAATTTTAAGAAAATATTTCAGAATACTACTGAAGATGAAACTAGTTCATTGGGAGGTATTTATGTTCTGCCAGACTTAAAGTCTGTACCTAAACGACTACAAGTTCCTCATCAAAGAGCACAGAGACAACATCTACAAATGTCACCAAGGACACTTAGTAAGATTAAGCCCTTCTTTTTTCAAAGAAACTGAGGAGAGTCTAAAACCGCCTTGGTATGTGTTCCCTTAATTTTCTATTTAATTTCTTTAAGGTAATTTATTTCTCTTTTGAAGCCAAGCTTATGAAAAACGATGCCATTTTATCCAACAAGAGGTATTAAAAACCAAAATTCTGGACAAAGAAAAAAAATTGCAACTCTAATATTAAATAACATGAATACACTAAATTTTCCTACTTAAAGTCTGTAGAAAGTTGCACATAGAACCCAGGATCTGGATCAAGAATGTACTTCCTTTTCAAGGAACTGCAAAAACCATACCGTGGTGCACTGTTAACTATTTTTGATTACCAAAATAGTCATGGGAGAATTTGTGACCGCCAGATTAGACTCTTGAAACTGAAAATAACCTGCATATTGTTCTATATAAAATCAGCAGGGTGGCTTCTTGGTTTGCACCAAATAGATGAATTTGCTAGGAATAATCTGATACTCCAGAGAGAAGTGCTGCAGGCACTGTGTATTAGAAAATTATGTATGTGAATATTTTTCCCAATTTGTCATTTGTCCTCATAGTGTTCAATAAATAGTGTGGCATTTATAATCCAGCATTATCATAAATTATTGAGAGTATCATATTTTTCCCCAATGGACATTATTCTCAAAATAAGATAAATAATTAAAGTGTATAAAAATAATTCTTTGTTATTGGACTGGATTTTCTCCACATAGACCTTGAAATATAAAACCATGGATCTTTCTCTCTGTTACCAGTTCCTGGTTTAAGAATTTTTAATGACAAAGATGGAATAAAATATATATCAAATCAAAGTATAGGTGATTTAGGATTGTAATCCCTAAATGTTTGGTTTAACAACTTAAAAGAAAGCTTTCAAGGGCTGAGGAGGTGAATGTGAGCTTCTTCTAATTCCAAATAATGTCAGTGTCATAAAACAATGCTAAGGGAAAAAGAAAAAGAAGGACATTACTCACTACATTAAATTCAAGAAAAAATATGAAAAATTAGGCCCATTGCTTAAAGGTAGGTAAACTGGTGACTCATGGAAATGTGAAAAGGGAAAGCACCAATTTTGCTTTCATCTTCAACAAAAGAATAATTATCAAAGCAGAAATGCAAGACCAAGTAAATTAAAATAAAAATGAAGCAGAAGATAAGCCAAAAAGAAACTATTTAAAATTGTGAAGGGGTTAAAGGTTTAGAGAACAGGCCTGATGCAGTTGCTCACACCTGTAATCCCAGCACTTTGGGAGGCCGAGGCGGGTGGATCACAAGGTCAGGAGATCAAGACCATCCTGGCTAACACGGTGAAACCTGTCTCTACTAAAAGTACAAACAAAAAAGAAAATTAGCCAGACGTGGTGGCGAGTGCCTGGAGTTCCAGCTACTAGGGAGGCTGAGGCAGGAGAATAGCGTGAACCCAGGAGGCGGAGCTTGCAGTGAGCAGAGATCGCACCACTGCACTCCAGCCTGGGTGACAGAGGGAGAATCTGTCTCAAAAAATAAAAATAAAAAAGTTAGAGAACAATAGCTGGGCGCAGTGGCTCATGCCTGTAATCCCAGCACTTTGGGAGGCCAAGGCAGGCGTGTCACTTGAGATCAGGAGTTCAAGACCAACCTGGCCAACATGGTGAAACCCCATCTCTACTAAAAATACAAAAATTAGCCAGGCATGGCAGCGCATGCCTGGAATCTCAGCTACTTGGAAGGCTGAGGCAGGAGAATCACTTGAACCCAAAGGGGCAGCGGTTGCAGTGAGCTGAGATGGCGCCATTGTACTCCAGCCTAGATGACAGAACGAGACACCGTCTCAAAAAAAAAAAAAATAGGTTTAGAAAACAGAAGTTACAAATGCAAATACTTATAAAGCCCTGATAAGAAATATAAATAAAAGAAATAACCGAGAAGTAAGTTAGTAGACGTTAAATGCAATTCTGTTGATGAGTAGATAACCATCTCTCAGTTTCGTCTGGGTACCTGAAATGAAGAAATTCTGAAGAAATGAAGACCTGGATTGACCAAGTTTTCTGATTTTTCCAGAGAAAATAGACAGACCTCCAGAGTTTAAAATGAGATATTTCATTTTGTTTATTTTGCTCTATTCTAATGTGAATCCTGGTATGATTTATATCCAGGATTTACTAATTATAAGACTTAAAAAGAATAAATTCTTTGTAACTAGAAACAACAAAGTCAGGATTATCTCTGGTGAGAAACAGAGGAAAATAGAATCTGGGAAATAAAATAGGAGTATTCAACGACATCTGTAATAATCGATTTACTAGGAAAAATGTTTGAATCAGACATGGGAAAATGTTAAGATTTGATAAAACTATAGACTACGTTGATATTCATTATGTTTCCTCTATGTTGCTTTTTAGGGTTAAAATACTTCCTTATAATAAAAGTATGTGATTTATATCTCAAAGTTTCTATACATAGATAAGTTTCTATATATAGATCTATACATAGAAATACAAAGTTTTTCTATAAAAAGTTTCTACACATAAATCTATCTATACATAGATATAGATGTACATATATTCATGATACAGAGATGTGGGTGATATAAAAAGCATAGATAAAAGTGGTAATTTGAAATAGACTGTGACTTTGTGTTCTACCTTTTCTAGAGATGTTCAAATTCCTAGGCAAGAATATAACCTAGAGAGAGATGCACTAATGTTCAAAGGCATTCTTACAGAGGAGGAAAGTGCACATGAATTTATTTTGTTGTTGTTGTTGAAAAGGCTTCCTATCAGCACTGGAGATATCTGGAAACTCTAGAAATTTGAATATGAATCATGCAAGAATTTGGGGTACCTGAATATAAAAAATAGTTGCCATGTTTATGTGCTACTCGTATAAGGTTAAGCACTTTGCCTTTTCTGTCTTTATACTCTGTACAAATGGTGCCTTGGACATAACAATTGATCCACATATGTTCACGGAATTAGATGAAACAGGGTTTTAGGTTTTTACCATATTATAAAAATAACAAAAGCCATAATTTGTTCAGCAAGTACTATGTGCTGAGCTAATTACCTTATATGCATTATCACTAATGCACAAAGGAAAATTGCATGGTAGGTATTGTTACCCCCAGTTTACAGGTAAAGAAAGCAGATAATTTGTTCACTCATCAATTCTTTATTGAGTACCAATTCTGCGCCAAGCACTGTTCCCAGCAATAGGGGTCCAGTTGTAAATAATAAAGACTGAAATGCCTCACTTTAAAAAGCTTGTACTCCTCTGGGGATGACATGCTAACAGGCCAATAAACAAGCACGTGTATAGTATTGCAGACGAAAATGATAAACACAAAGGGAAAAACAAAGCAGAGGACAATGGGCTGATGAGGTTTTAAATGAGCATTTCAAATGGGCTGGTCAGGGAAATTTCCTTGGTAAGGTGGCATTTGGACAAAGATGTGAAGCAGGGGAGAGGGTGAGCTATGTGACCATTTATGGGAAAAGTCTCCTGAACAGGGGACAGCAAGTAAATGCCCCGAAGCAGGAATATACTTGGTGTGTTTAGGAACAGCAAGCATGACAGTATGTTTGGATTGGAAAAAATGAGGGAAAGAAAAGAGATGAGACGAGAGAAGAGCTAGAATTCCAGATCACAGTGCCTTACAGATGAATCTGAGTGCATTGGCTTTTATTTTGCATTGGATGGAAAAACGGGAAGGTTTTGAGCAGAATATGATCTCACATAAGGGTTAAAAGAACTATGTGGGCTGCTACATTGAGAAAAGACTAAAGAAATGGAAGGAACCCAGAAATCCCTATTTTGTAGGTTGAGAAACCACTACATGAGCATGGCCTGTGACTAGACTGGTCTAATCAGAGCAGAGAAGCATGTTCATTTACTCACCAAATATTTTTTGAGCCTTAACTCTATTCTATATGTGTATATAACAATGGGCATGCAATGGTGAATACAAACACATTTCCATTCCTCAAAGTACCTGGTCTGGTCTAGTGACCAATTCTGAGAAATAGCAGAATAAAGATGGAAAAAATAAAAACGTCTAAAATGATATTACAAGTTTAAAAGAACACTGGCTGCCAAAGTCTTGCTTTTTACAGCTCTGATGGAAATGGATAAACATTTTTTAAATTACCTTAGTTGACTGTAACAGAGCAGCATAGGTGCCCCAAAGTATAGCAGGCAAAGCTCAGATTTACCACAACTTTTTACACTGACTCCACAAACTAGTTGTACATTGAAGAAAATATAGCTATTCACCCAAACACAAGGGAATGTTTTTCCACATTAGCCACGGTGATGGCACACATCCGCATACTCATCAGCTCCTCCCTTTAGACAGTCAAGATAATGCTTCAATTCTTAGAACACAAAATGGTAGCCAACTGCACAGAACAAATTTGACGACCTGCCAGTCAGCCCTTCTTCAACTATAAGATCCTGGTTTTGTTCAAATATCAAACGGCTAGTGTATTAGTTCGTTTTCACACTGCTATAAAGAACTACCTGAGATTGGGTAATTTATTTTAAAAAAGGGGTTTAATTGACTCACCGTT